GCACCGCTGCTGTACAGACAGACAGACAGTCGCTGCATCTTATTCCTTGCCGATCAAAGGAAATCTGAATTTGACTGCGTGCGTCCTCTGTTGACGTGTCGGGGATTTGAGGTCGCTGCAGTGCGAGTGATGAGCCACGCCCCAACTCAAGCGCCACAGCACCTTTGTAACTGCCCACTCGTGACTGTATCACGATGAAACGTGAACTTGCTCTCTCCACTGCGCACCACACCCACCACGATCCCGTAGCAATCAGACCCGATTTAGCATAAGACTCCACTTACTCACTACGCTACCTCTGTCAAGTGGCATCACACGTTCTTTTCTCGCCCTTCATCCATCACGCTCCTTTCTCCCGCGTCCTTCAAGACCACGGCACTTGAACTCTTCACAGCATTTCTCGACCACATCATCCATCTCCTTTTAGATCACACATTTCACGATGAAGTTTAGCATTTCAGCAGCTTTCTTGCTCGTGGCCAGCGCAGCCGTCACCCTTGCACCTAGAGCCGTCGCCGAGCTCTCCAAGGTCTCCAGCCCTTCCGAACTCGTTGAGCGCGCTGGTGGTGCGCCCGATGTGATCAACGTCAACATCAAGAATCTCGAACCTGAGGATCGCGTTTACGACGTGACTCGTCGCGTCTACTACCAATCCAACCTCTACAAGGGAAGAATTGCAGCGCAAACAAAGGATGGCGCCAAGTTCAACGTCGAGATCCCAGGCGTGTCCTCAAGCGGCAACGGTGCCCAACAGATGGCCGGTCTGAGCTTGGACAGTCGCAAGGATGCCAAAGCGCTTTACGCCGTCGCGAAGGATGCTGGTGCATTCCGATTCGATGGTAGCCAAAGCAAGACCGGACCTTGCTCTTTCCACAAATTCAATCTGCCCGTCGACGCCAGCTCCAAGCCCGCGTGGAGCGTGTATTTCGACGATGTTCAAAAGCAATTCCAAGCTCAGAATGGCGTCCGTCCATTTGGCAACGTCGCTTCGGCTCAGGGCACCGACGGAAGCTCTTACGTCATCTTTGCTCTCGGTGCCCCAGCCATCGCAAAGGTGTCCGCGGATGGCAAGACCGTCACCCCATGGTACTACGAGGCTCCCAACGGCAGCCAGCGACCAGGCTTCACTGGCGTTACCTACGTTCCCGAGGGCAACCTCATCGTCGCCTTTGGTGGTCCCCGTCCTCTCACTGCCTTCAAGCTGGACGGTAACCCTGCCAGGGGAGTCCCAATCTTCACCCGCATCAACGGCAACTTTGGCAGCTTGGACGGCACGGAGAAGATCAAGACCTTCCCTTGTGAGTGATGAATGCTTGGACCTCGTATGATCGCATTCTTCCCCACCATGCTGACGTTGCGCCCCTCTCACGCACAGCGCTGAACGGCTCTGGTTCTCGCCTCGTCGGGGCCAAGACGCCCAACGTGTACGCCTTCACCTCGACGGACAACTACGCCTCGGCATCCTTCAAGACCTTCTCTCGTCCTGAGATTGCCTCTTCCGAGTACGGTCTCACCAGCATCACAGAGGGCATCTACGGTGGTATCAGGAACCTGTATGCGTCCGGCGCATACTTTGGGAACGGTGCAAAGGGCGGAAGAACCAACTTTCCCATGTACCACCTTGACGATGCCATCCTCAACTAGATGGCCCCCCTCAACATTGCGCGCTCTTGGCTGGTCAACATTAGAGCAGTCCCTGGCGTAGCCCACAAATGCAACAACCTCTTCGCCATTCATTTTTCCCCTCGAGAAGCACAGCGCGTACCTCTACTTTGAGGTAAAGAGCCCGTGTATCCTCATCCATCAGACGGACTTTTGTACATAGCGCTCCCACGCATACATACTTTTTTCCCCTATACAAATGGATTGTCGTCTCGTTGCAAATGAGCCCAGCTTACACGCGCCGTGACTTGAAAGCATACGGCAAAGATCAGCGAGCTAGCAAGTGGCGAATACCGTTGTGAGAAGGACATGTATATCGAATCGTGTGTGACGTGAATACAAGCAGTAAGGCGATTGCCGCAACGTGAAGGAGGATTACAGAGAAGGATGCTCGCGCAGCTATTTAACGAGTCTTGTAATGTCCTTGATACCGTCCAGATTATATTCTCGGGCTCCGACCTGGGAAGCGGCCATTTGGAGACCTTGGCGTCGAAGGGGTCATATTGTGCAAAGCTATCGGCGTATTCGGCACCTGACCTCGCGGGCTATGGACGGTGTTCGTCGGCGATAGAGCAGGTCCGATGAAGCCGTGTGGTGTTGCAAATTTTGTGGGCGAGCGCAGCGATCCGCTACTTTGCTCCACATCTTCCGACAATCCGGTTTGACGCCAAGCAGCCTTGGGACGCCTGCTGCGACCAGACGTACCCAGGTCGCCAGCTTGGCCTGATGCTAGGGCTTGCAGCACGATGGAGCGACCTGCGCCCATGCCGGCATACCACGACAAGTCTTCCGTGCCAGATCCTCGAGAGCCCAGAGGTTGGTGCATGGGAATGTCGTGGGTGTCGTCAATCATTGGCATCCTCGACGATGCAACAGACTCTGGACGAGCGCCATCGTTCTCAGGATGTTCGACCGCGCGATGACCAAGCGCACGATCGCTGGTGCTACTGTGTCGTACGATAGCCTCGTCCGCATCCGTCATTTCGCCTAGCTCGGATTTATA